CTTTTCCTTCTATTCCCCTGTTTTAGTTGAGTAAAGTTGTTCAATTTGTAACATTTGATATTGTAATTAGAGGACTTCTTGGTGGTGACAACTAGTCTATTATAAAGTTAGAATAATATGACTTAAATCATTAAATGGGGTGGTTTCACATTAATAAATGTTAGTTTGATTTGAATTCAGTTTAAATTAATTTACATATGATCTTTATCATTATTAATCAGAGTACATCAATTTTTTTTCTAGTACCAATAAAATCTTGTCAAGTTGTCACCTACTAATTTAAAATTTTTAATTTGAAATTAACATCAAAAGTTTAAATTTTTACAATATCAAAAAGTTAATCTTCATATGTATGACGGTAAAAAAATAAAAATTGAGATATAAGAAAAAACTCACTTCTTCACTTTTTCATTTTTTGGTACATTAAAAGTTTTATTCTCAATATTAGAAAAAATTGAACCTCTAACTGTAACTTTAAAATAAAAATTTTAAATTAATAAATACTAATTTAAACAAATTTTTGTTATACTTGATGTAAAACCTATGCAGGATGACAATTTTTCTCTATCTCCACATAATTCCCACCCTCCTGAAAGGGTAGGGACGGAGAGTATTTTTTCATTATGAATTATTGCAGGAATTTTTCTTAACCAATGAGTCCCTACAAGTATCTCTATTTCTGAAATATTAAAAAAAGTAAAGAAAAAAAATATTAAATATAATATAATTTAAATATTTAACTCATAATTATAGGCATACCTATTACTAATTTTTATTTTTATTTAATACTAAAATCCAATCATTTTAAACCAAACTAAATCTAACATTTGTTTTATTTAAACCAACTATTTAAAATACTGGTTAGGAGTATTTTAACAAATTCAAATGTTCATTTCCTGGATACTGAGGTCCCTTTCTGGAATTTTCGAACGCCAAATTTCACGCAAGAATTTTCTTTATTTTTCGTCGGAAAGGAAAATAACATTTTTTTTATGGGGGAAAATGACTGAATTAAAATGCAGTATGTTGTATATTCTAGTAATATTCATTGAGCAACAAAGTTCAGAGTATTCGGAAGTAGTTTACTTCCTGCAACAGATGTCATGAGTTTGAGTCATTTAATTTATTTGGGTCACGAGGGTAAAGTGTTAAAAGTAAAAAAGATGTTTGTTTTATGTTGTGTCGCCTACGGTAAATAATATATATTAAAAAAAACTTTTAATTAGCTCATTCGTAATGCAGCTTAATAGTATATTAGGGTTCAGAAAATAAAAAGGAGGAGAAAAAAAAAATTTTTATCAATAAAATTATAATATTTTTAGCACATTAGAATTTAATTTATCAACAAATTTTCTCCTCCCCTCCACCATAGTTGTTTTCTCAGCCTTACTCCCATGTTAATTTTTTATTTTTAGAGAAAAAAAAATGTTAGTTGGCACCCCAAAATGAAACCAAGGACATGAGAAATCTAACTAAAGATTAGGTTGGGCTCGAACTAAATTTGTTGGGTAATGCAAAACGTTTTTTTTTTTTTTTTTTTGGTGAAAACAAGAAATGGCCTTAAACAAAATAAGGAGGGTAATGCAAAATGTTGTTTCTTGTTTAATGTCAAAAAACGTTTAAGTGTATATGAGACTTCCAATCCCACATAGGTTGCAAAAGCAGGAGATTAGGTTGGTATAACGTATAAGATGCTAGCATCACAGCTTAACTTAACATACTAGTACTTTTTGGGCATATTATAGAAGTAGATATATAAAAAACAAAGGGTCTTCTAGAAAATTTATTATGATATTAAATGGCATTTTTAGATGAATTTTCTAAAAGTTAATGCAAAGTAATATGTGCGATATAAAATAATATGTTTTCGCCACAATCGCTTTTAAATTTTAC